ATATTTCTTTTATATAACTGAATCAATCTGTCTCTTACACTGATCATTGTTAATATTTCTTTTTTCCCCACTATATCTGGAATGTATTATTAATAATTATATTGTTTTGTGTTTCTTTTTTACAGTTAACTGTAATTCAGTAAGAATTCTGATGAGGAATCTAAATTAATGAACCCAGACTGAACACATTTTTTTTTTTTTTGAGACAGTGTCTTGCTCTGTCACCAGGCTGGAGTGAAGTGGTGCCATCTCAGCTCAATGCAACCTCCCTCCACCTCCCAGGTTCAAACGATTCTCTTGCCTCAGCCTCCTGAGTAGCTGAGATTACAGGCATGTGCCACCATGCCCGGATAATTTTGCATTTTTAGTAGAGACAGGATTTCTCAAACTCCCAACCTCAGGTGATCCGCCCGCCTTGGCATCCCAAGGTGCTGGGATTACAGGCGTGATCTACTGCACCTGGCCTGCAACACATTTTTTAAATGACCACATTATTTATTTATATATGTATGTATGCACAGGTATATGTCTGAATATTTTTGTCCTAGGTAACTGTAGGGACTATATAAGTACCAAGGAAAAGCAAAGTAAACCCACATTTATACATCATTGAATTTAAATGAAACATTTAAAACCTACTGTAACTACTATACTTAAAATGTATACATACACACACACTCCTAAAGTCAGTTAATTCCAGCTCCAAGGGAAAAAAAGCAATTAGTGAGAGACCTTAGGGGCTTGTTTTACTCACTCTCTTAACTCTGGCAGAGAAGAGGTGTACTTTGAAAGCTCTATCCTTTCTTTCAAGTGAGAAGAAAACATCAGCACTGAGAAATATTTTCTATTCTTTGAAGCTATTCAATTTAGAATTTTTTTCTTCTATCCATGTATAAACCTCAGGCTGTGCTCTGTGCTTTTCAAACAACATCAGCTATAAATACAGTTCTTTTAGGATTCACTGCTAATTTTAAAAATGCTTGATGTAAAATATACTATACCAACAGACAAGAAAAAACCTTCCTGGTTGCTCTTTGAAATCTTAAAGACTAAGTTCACCAGAGATACTAATATAATCTATTTTAAAAACTTGTGGGCTAGGGACGGTAGCTCATGCCTGTCACCCCAGCATTTTGGGAGGCGGAGGTGGGCGGATCACATGAGGTCAGGAGTCCAAAACCAAAATGGCCAACATGGCAAAACCTTGTCTCTACTAAAAATATAAAAATTAGCCAGGCATGGTGGCACACACCTGTAGTCCCTACTACCCAGGAGGCTGAGACAGGAGAATCACTTGAACCCAGGAGGGAGAGGTTGCAGTGAGACGAGATTGTACCACTGCACTCCAGCCTGGGCAACAGAGAGAGACTCCGTCTCAAAAAAAAGAAAAAAAAAAAAAACTCTATTTTGTAAGTAGTTACAGAAAAATTGGCTTCTCTGAACCATGTTACTTATAGGTATTATTTGCTTTATGTGTACTACTCACCAGAACCTTTGGAATTCTGGTAATAAGAATTTTCAGCTGATCTGTTGAAAAAAAAAAAGCACATAAATATGTAATAATTACAACATTACAAGCAGTTAACAACATATTTCAATTTTTTTTTTTTTTTTTTGAGACAGGGTCTTGCTCTACTATCCAGGCTGGAGTGCAGAGGCATGATCTCGGCTCATTGCAACCTTTGCCTCCCGGGTTCAAGTGATTCTCCCACCTCAGCCTCCCATGTAGCTGGGACTAGCGCCGCTACGCCCAGCTAATTTTTGTATTTTTAGTAGAGACAGGGTTTCACCATGTTGGCCTGGCTGGTCTTGATCTTATCTCAGGTGATCTGCTTGCCTCGGCCTCCCAAAGTGCTGGGATTAAAGGCATGAGCCACTGTACCCAGACAACATATTTCAAATTTTAAAAAAGAATAGTATTGAATATGATTTTTACTTTTCATATTTCTATCAGAAATCATGTCTGGTAAATTTTTTCCTATAATTCTGGTTAAATCCTAATGACGCCAAGATTTTTCTTTTTTTAAAGAGGGGGTTTCACCATGTTTGTCAGGCTGGTCTTGAACCCCCGACCTCAGGTGATCTGCCTGCCTTGGCCTCCAAAGTGCTTGGATTACAAGCGTGAGCCACCATGCCCAGACAAGATTTTTCTTTTTTTCTGTTTTTAGAGATGGGGTCTCCCTCCTTCACCCAGGCTACAGTGCCGTGTCATGATCATAGCTCACTGCAGCCTCAAAATCCTGGGCTCAAACGATCCTCAGCCTCCCAAGTAGCTGGGACTATAGGCACTTGCCACAAAGCCTGGCTAATTTTTGTACAGCCCTGAGCCACCACGTCTGTCCTGGTCTTAATTTTATAGCTTCCTAATCTCATTCCTACAGTGAGCTCAATAAAGTAGTTGGGACTCCTGGGCTATCCATGATATTTTCTTATCTTTATTTTTAATGAACTGATTTGGGTGTTGAAAAGACTGTTCCTTGAATAGCAATTAAGGTGTGCTAGAACTGATAAGTTGGTCTGTAACGTTTCCAATTTCATACAAGTTCTTTTTTCTTTTCTAAACTTAAGACAAAACACCCTTCCTTTCCTCATCCTGCAATTCATTAAGTGACCAAGAGATCATGGGTCAGATGTGGTAGCTCACGCCTGTAATCCCAGAACTTCGGGAGGCCAAGGAAGCATATTACTTGAGTCCAGGAGTTCGAGACCAGCCTGGGCCAACATGGCCAAACATAAATACAAAATCTCTACTAAAAATACAAAAATTAGCTGAGCATGGTGGCACACACCTGTAGTCCCTGCTACTCAGGAGGCTGAAGCAAGAGAATTGCTTGAACTCGGGATGTGGGGGTTGCAGAGAGCTGAGATCACTCCACTGTACTCCAGCCTGGGTGACAGAGTGAGACCCAATCTCAAAAAAAAAAAAGAAAGAAAGAAAGAAAAAAAAAGTTCATGTGTCTCCTGATATACTAGGATCCAGCAGTCAGCCAAGGAGTTCAAAGAACAGAAAAGAAACCCACAGGCAGGGCGCGGCGGCTCACGCCTGTAATCCCAGCACTTTGGGAGGCCAAGGCGGCACGAGTTTGAGACCAGCCTGGCCAACATGGTGAAACCCCGTCTTTACTAAAAATACAACAAAAAGACCGGGCGCAGTGGCTCACGCCTGTTATCACGAGTTCGAGAACATGCTGGCTAACACTGTGAAACCCCCATCTCTACTAAAAATACAAAAAATTAGCCACGTGTGGTGGCACCCGCCTGTAGTCCCAGCTACTCGGGAGGCTGAGGCAGGAGAATCGCTTGAACCTGGGAGGAGGAGGTTGCGGTGAGCCAGGATCACGCCACTGCACTCCAGCCTGGGCAACAGAGAGAGACTCCCAAACAAACAAACAAATAAATAAGCAAGCCCAGCGTGGTGGTGGGCACCTGTAATCCCAGCTACTTGGGAGGCTGAGGCAAGGAGAATTGCTTGAATCTGGGAGGCAGAGGTTGCAGTGAGCCGAGATCACACCACTGCACTCCAGCCTGGGCGACAGTGCAGGACTCCATCTCAAGAAAGAAAAGAAAGAAGAAACCCAAGACTCCATCCCATCTTTAAGAAGTCTTCAACAGCACCAGATATAAAAAGAATGGCCATGCATGCAACAGGGGCCCTGACTATGGGTTGTTTTAAACGGTAAACACATCTCAGTTCTTGCTTTTAGGGAGAGGTAGAGCCCCCAGCAGTGACTTCAACAGCTTGTTGTCTTCACTACCTAGGAAACAGGTGTAAAACTCGGCTCAAAACGGAATGGATTTGCAGAAAAAGGAACTTGAGTGTGAAGAAAATGTCAAGATCAAAGCACTTTGGATAGTCATCCGTCTCACTGGCGTTTAGAAACCCTTGTTTCAGGTAGGGCGCAGTGGCTTACCGCGTAATCTCAGCACTTTGGGAGGCCGAAATGGGCCAATCACTTGAGGTCAGGGGTTTCAAACCAGCCTGGCCAACATGGTGAAACCCCATCTCGACCAAGAACACAAAAATGAGCCAGACGTGGTGGCAGGCGCCCGTAATCCCAGTTACTCGGGAGCCTGAGGCAGGAGAATCACTTGAACCTCGGAGGCGGAGGTTGCAGTGAGCCGACATTGCGCCACTGCACTCCAGCCTGGGCAACAGAGCGAGATTCCGTCTCAAAAAAGAAAGAAACCCCCGTTTGACAGGAAGGGGGCTCGCGTCACAAGCGGGAAGTAACTGGTTTACGGGCCTGGACGCCCCGGGTTGAACCGGGGACATCCTCCTCAGCCCCCGCCGCCTCGCCTTTTGGTGGACACATAGTCCTGTGCCAGACCGCAAACGTCCCAGCAGGGCTCGTAGCGCCCCCTCGGGGCAGAGAGATGCAGGCGAGCGACTGTCGCAGTCACCGCTTGGCCACTGCACCAAACGCTCCTCCGAAGCTTCCCTCAGAGGCAGTCCCTCAACCGCGAAACAGCCCTCCCCTCTTCCCACCTGTCCACAACACAACTGCTCCCGGCCTCTCACTTGAGGGCACCGGGGCCAGGCCCCGAGACGCGGGGCAGGCCGGAGCCCTCCTCCACGGGGCTCACCACCGGAGGCGCCACACTGCCCCCCACCCCCACCCCGGGGCCCTCAACCTCACCCGCCGCCGCCGCCACCCTGGGTCCCGGCCACTGCGGGCGGCTCTGCAGAAGAGCTACGCTCCGTCCAGTCGGACCCCGGACCGTGGTCCGGCATTTCCGCGGCGCCGGGAAGCGCGAGCCGTGTGCGGGAGCAGCTGTCCACGCACCCCTCCCACGAGAGAACTCGTGAGTCAAGCGGCTGGTATCACTGAGAGGCGGCTCCAACGCCGGCTTCTCGCCCCTCCGAAGCCGTTCGGACACTGCCCGAAGAGCTTCGGGAGAGCGGGGCGGGCAGATCCGCGACCCTAGAGTTACGGTGGGGGAGGGGCGGGAGCGCTGCAGTCGCTGCGGGTTTACACCTCTTTCTGGAAGCGGTGCGTCACGGGAGGCAAATATACATGTTCCCCAAAAGAAGAGGTGCCTTGCACTTCAGTATTCCAGATCCTTAGCACATTTGCAAATCGCGAGGGTCATCAAGCAGGTCAAACATTTACACGCAAACCACGGACTGAAGCACGTGGCGCAAGGATGCGGCGCGTTATCCGTTATTACCTAGGCAACGAGGCTTAGGCAGCATCCGAACAGATTTCCAGCAACTACTTCTGCGCACGCGCAAATTATCTCCGTTTTCCGCAGAACGTGTTTCTCACGGGATTTGGCCCGTGGGCTGCCCCGTAGTAGGAGGTGTGGTAGAACAGGAGTCGTAGAAAGAAAGTGGATTGCGATTGGTTCCTACTTCATTTTCCCGGAACTCAGTGGGCGTCGCGCCAGGGCTGCTGGAGTGTAGCAGGCGGCTGCCGTATCTCCGAAAGCCGGCATGCCTCGGTATGCGCAGCTGGTCATGGGCCCCGCTGGCAGCGGGAAGGTGAGGATCTAGGGGGACAGGGAGAGGAGAGAAAAGTAGGAGTTCGTGGCAGGCGGGAGGGTGGGTCCTGAGTGAGCCGGCGGGTGTACGTATTGGAAACCCTGAGACCCTACGCAACTCATTTCAGCTCTCTGGCTTCACGTTCTATTTTGTTGTTTTGAAAGGGAAATGATGGTAGTTGTTAATATCTATTGGATACTTACGCTCCAGGCAGCAGATTAAACGCCTCGCTTATTTCTACAACAGCCCTGTAAGAGAGATAGCATTATTCTCATTTTACGGAAAACGAGACACAGAAAGGTAAAGGTTGTTTGTTTGTTTTTTTTGCCCAGGATCTCACAGCTAGTAAGTTACAGCAAAAATTTAAATCTAGTTTTGTCTAAACTCTAGAATCCGGCCCTGTCTCGTTCCCAGGAGGGTAAAGTGGGGTCTCGTTAATTACTCTTTCTCAGAACTTGGGACGTGGACTTTTGGTATTTAGGGATTTAAAGGGCATTTAAGTGGTACATGGACCCAACATGAAGGAGCATCGGATCATTATTGAGGAAATTGTTCCTTTTTCATTTCTCTTTCAGTTCTTCACTTTGCATGTAGGAGAAATTGTGTTCAGTGCTAGTGTATCTTCAGCACTTTTTGGTCTTGAACTCTCGACCTCAGGTGATCCGCCCACCTTGGCCTCCAAAGTGCTTGGATTACAGGTGTGAGCCACCACGCCCAGCCATCTTCAGCACTTTTTAAAACTCCAAGTCTTTTCAGAAAGCAGTTCTTAGACTCAGAGCTTTTTTTTTTTTAATTGGCTGAGACGGGAGTCTGGCTCTGTAGCCCAGGCTGCAGTGCAGTGGCGCGATCTCGGCTCACTGCAATTGCCTCCGGTGTCCCCGGTTCAAGCAATTCTCCTACCTCAACCTCCCAAGTAGCTGGGATTACAGGTTTGAACCACCATGCCCAGCTAATTTTTGTATATTTTAGTAGAGATGGAGTTTCATCGTGTTGGCCAGTCTGATCTTGAACTTCTGACTTCCTGATTCTCCCGCCTCGGCCTCCCAAAGTGTTGGGATTACAGGCATGAGCCACCACGCCTGGCTTAATTTTAGCTAAAATTAAGAGCATTTAAAAGTTTTATATAATTTTATGTCTGACTTCACGTTATATCACATATAACTGGTTTTCAGTTTACAATAGGGATAAAATTTTTTCTTGTAAACAATACTAAGGGAATGTTAGCAACATTCAAATACAGTGGGAATGGTGAAGATATGGATCAAATAACATGTGTGGGAAACATAGCCAGGCGTAGTGGCTCACGCCTATAATTCTATCACTTTGGGAGGCAGATGTGGGCGGATCGCCTGAGCCCAGGAGTTTGGGACGAGCCTGGGCAACATGGCAAAACCCTGTCTCTACAAAAAAATGCAAAAATTAGCCAGACCTGATGGCAGTCACCTGAAGTACCAGCTTCTCAGGAGCCTGAGGTGGAAGGATCACTTGAACCCAGGAGTTTGAGGCTGTGGTGAGCTGTGATCCTGCCACTGCACTCCAGTCTGGGTGACAGAGTTACTGTCTCAAATATAAAAAAGAAGTGAGGGAAACACTAGAGTCTATGGAGGTGTCATGTGGCTGCAGTCTTTAACAAACACATTATTCTAAGCTGTTGCCTTATTCTGGGTAAAAGACATGTACATGTAACTAAGATGTGGCTTTCATCTTACCCAGAGTCTGTAGTCTTTTGGGGAAGACAAGTAAATAACCTGTCAATTAAGATACAGTGTGATGTGGCCAGGTGTGGTGGCTTAAGCCTGTAATCCTAGCACTTTAGGAGGCTGAGGCCAGGAGATCACTTGAACCCAGGAGTTCAAGACCAGCCTGGGCAACATGGTGAAACCCTATCTCTACCAAAAATACAAAAATTAACTGGGCGTGGTGGCGAGAGCCTGTAGTCCCAGCTACTCTGGAGGCTGAGGCTGGGGAATCACTTGAGCCTAGGAGGTCAAGGCTGCAGTGACCTATTCCAGACAGAGACAACAGTATTTGTAAAGGCACTAAGAGAACAGCCACCTCCAGACATTTTTTTTTTTTTTTTTTTGAGACAGAGTCTCGCTCTGTTGCCAGGCTGGAGTGCAATGGTGCAAACTTCGCTCATGGCAACCTCCGCCTCCTGGGTTCAAGCGATTCTCCTGCATCAGCCTCCTGAGTAGCTGGGACTACAGGTGCACACCACTACACCCAGCTAATTTTTGTATTTTTAGTAGAGACAGGGCTTCACTATGTTGACCAGGATGGTCTCGATCTCTTGACCTCATGATCTGCCCGCCTCGGGCTCCCAAAGTGCTTGGATTACAGACATGAGCCACTGTGCCTGGCCCAGACTATTTATTGACCTTGATGTTCCTTCATCTTGGAATGCTCTTTTCCCCTTGGGTTGACAAGCTCATTCTCATATACTCAGATATCCTCTACTCAGAGACATCATCCCTGACCATCCTACCTAAACCTTTGTTTGTACTGTATAAATCCTGGTAGAGATACTGTGTTAGGTATTATACTATGTAACCAGAAATCTTGCCTATAAATACCGGTTGTCACATGTTAGAGCAGTAAGGAGCCTTAGTGATTATGGAGGACATCCCAGTTAAAGACAAGAAAGTTGAGGGGCAGAGTGGAGAAGTAACTTCCCCAGAGTTACCCATGAGTCTAAGTCAGGTTTGTATCTGCAGCCCAGTCAGGTGTCTTTTCCCTTGTTTTCAGTCAGCCTCTTGGTTGTTTTGTTTGTTTGTTTGTTTTTTGTTCTCTTGGTTGTTGAAGGCATAGTTTTTACTTTAGTGGATAGTATTCCAGAGTATGGAGGGTAGTCCTACACTACCTATTGCTTTAACCTCTCACAATGCCTTGTATGTTACAGAGTACCTACTGTGCCACCATGGTCCAGCACTGTGAAGCCCTCAACCGCTCTGTTCAAGTTGTAAACCTGGATCCAGCAGCAGAACACTTCAACTACTCCGTGATGGCTGGTAAGTCCTGACTAGAGGCTTCTCACACCTTCAGGAACAGTAAGGACTGGGGAGGCAGTGAGTGAGTACTGGCTGCTTAGCACAGAAACTGAGAAATTACTTCTTATAGTCTGGATCCCTGGTTTTATGGTAAATAGCATGAGCTTGTCATTTGGTTATATCTGTTCATGGTGATGTGTGTGACAGTATCCTTTCTTGGTCTTTGACACAGATTTTAAAAGTAAATGGAAGCCTCCCTCATCACCCCTTCATTGTGTCCCTTTCATGCTTAGTCCTTTTGTAGTGAATCATGTGGTATATTGCTGATCTCTGTAAGTCAGGATCCTGGGTTTGTTTGTTTTTTCAGTTCTTTTAATTTGTTCATTTAAGTGTCTGTTGAATACCTGTTTTATGCCAGACACCAGAATTATAGCAGAGAATAAGACAGACACTATCCCTGCCCTCACCAACCCTTTAGTGGAGGAAATAGCCAATAAACAAAATGATAAACATGTTACAGAATGTGATGACTGCAGATAGGCTCATGAGAAGGACTCATTGGGAGAGGTTGCTTTAGCTAGGGTGGTCAGGGAGGATGATGACTCTGAGGAGGGGATTTTTTTTTTTTTTTTTTTAGAAATAATGTAATTTAAAAGAACTATTTATTGAACTCTACTAATTGTATTTTTTCCCATAGAGTATTGCCATATAAAGTTGAATTTTCAGACTTTGCTTTTTTTTCTTCTAGCCTTTTTATTTTTAATTGCATTTTAGATTTGGGGTTACATGTGAAGAACATGCAAGATTGTTGCATAGGTACACACATGGCAATGTGATTTGCTGCCTTCCTCCCCATCACCTATATCTGGCATTTCTCCCCATGCTATCTCTCTCCCCAACTCCCCACCTCCCGCTGTCCCTCCCCTGTTTTCCCCCAACAGACCCCAGTATGTGATGCTCCCTGAGGAGGGGATCTTTGAGCCTAGACCTGAAGGATGGTAATACGCTCCTCAGACTGGGAAAAGGCCTTCCAAAACGAGGGAACATTTAGATCAATAAATATGCTAAGCTGGTTATGGGAACATGTACCTATAGTCCTAGCTACTTGTAAGGCTGAAATGAGAGGATTGCTTGAGCCCAGGAGTTCAAGTCTAGCCTGGGCAACATTGCAAGATGCATCTCTGAAAAATAAAATACAAAAATAAATAGCCTGGGGTTAGAAAGGGTTTGGTATGCTCCAGGAAGGCCAAGATGTCAGTGAGCTGAAACATAATAACTGAAAGAAAGAAGTGGGTAGGGGCTAACAGGACATGAGAAGATGGGATTTTATCCTGTTGACAGTGGGCTGCCACTAGAGGGTTTTAAGCAGAGGAAAGGATTGACATCTGATACATGTTTTGGGGGTTTTTTGCCTTTTTTTGAGACAAGGTCCAGCTCTGTCACCCAGGCTGGAGTGCAGTGATGCAACTTCTGCCTCCTGAGCTGAAGCCATCTTCCCAGCTCAGCCTCCCAAGTAGCTGGGACTGTGGGCACATGCCACCATGCCTGGCTAATTTTTGTAAATTTTTTTTTTCTGGTAGAGATAGAGTTTCACCATGCTGCCTAGGCTGGTTTCAAACTCTTGAGCTCAAGCAGTCTGTCTGCCTTGACCTCCCAACGTGCTGGGATTAGAAGCATGAGCCACTGCACCCAGCCTTGGTTTTGTTTGTTTGTTTGTTTGTTTGTTTTCTTGAGACAAGGTCTCACTCTGTCACCAAGGCTATAGTAATCATAGCCCATTGCAGTCTCAACCTCCTGGGCTTAAGCAATACTTTTGCCTCAGCCTCCCAATCCCGAGTAGCTAGAACTATAGGCACATACTATCATGCCCACGTAATTTTTATATTTTTTGTAGAGGTGGGGTTTCACCATGTTTCCCAGGCTGGTCTGAAACACCTGGGCTCAAGCGACCTACCCACCTTGACTTCCCAAAGTGCTGGGGTAATAGGCGTCAGCCACCGCACTTGGGCTGATTTATGTTTTAAAAAGTAACTCAGAGATCCAAGATGGCTGATTACTAGCAGCTCAGGATGTAGCTCCCAGTGAAAGCGCAGAGAACGAGAGGACGCCACATTTTCAGACCAATTTTTGTTGCTCACGGACCAGGAGATTCCCAGCAGAGGAGCCCCATGGGTCGCCAGCATGACTCTTGTGGCTGGCGCGGCAATTCTTGGTGCAGATTAAATGGGACTGGGTCCCCTTTTGGTCAATGTTTGGAGCTCCAGGAAGGCAGAGTCACCTATTCAGCTGACTGAAAAAGGGACTCAAGAAGGAAGCCAGACTGGAGATTCCCCCGGCAGAAAAGCACATGAATCTTAACACCGCTGTTTTAGCCGGTGCAGTGGGTTGCTTAGACTCCGGCACTGAGAATGAACAAGTTGGACATCCACTCAGAGACCTAATTTGAAAGTCGGTAATTACAAAGACCACAGGTAGATAAATTTACAATGACGGGAAGAAACCAGCATAAAAAGGCTGAGAATACCCAAAATCAGAATGCCTCTCCCTCTACAGGGGATCACAGTTCCTCATCAACAAGGGAACAAGGCCTGATGGAGAATGAGTGTGTTCCATTAACAGAATTAGGCTTCAGAAGGTGGATAATAAGAAACTTCTGTGAGTTAAAAGAACATGTTCTAGCCCAATGTAAAGAAACTAAGAACCTTGAAAAAAGGTTTGATGAAATGCTAAAGAGAATAGATAATTTAGAGAGGAATATAAGTGAATTAATGAAACTGAAGAATACAATATGAGAACTCCACAAAGTATGCACAAGTTTTAACAGTCGAATTGATCAAGCAGAAGAAAGGATACCAGAGGTTGAAGACCAACTCAATGAAATGAAATGTGGAGATAAAACTAGAGAAGAAAGAGTTAAAAGCAAAGAGCAAAATATCCAAGAAATATGGGACTATGTGAAAAGACCTAATTTACGTTTGATAGGTGTACCTGAATGTCATGAAGAGAATGAATCCAAGCTGGAAAATATTCTTCAGGATATTATTCAGGAAAACTTTACTAACCTAGTAAGGCAGGACAATACTCAACTTCAGGTAATGCAGAGAACACCACAAAGATATTCCTCAAGTAGAGCAACCCCAAGACACATAATCATTAGATTCACCAGGATTGAAATAAAGGAGAAAATTCTAAGGGCAGCTAGAGAGAAAGGTCAGGTTACCCATAAAGGGAAGCCTATCAGACTCACAGCAGATCTCTCAGCAGAAACTCTACAAACTAGAAGAGGGTGGGGGTCAATATTCTATATCCCCAAAGAAAAGAATTTTCAACCCACAATCTCATATCCAGCCAAACTAAGCTTCATAAATGAAGGAAAAATAAAATTTTTCATGAACAAGCAAGCACTCAGAGATTTCATCACCACCAGGCCTGCTTTACAAGAGCTTCTGAAAGAAGCACTATACACAAAAAGGAACAACCAGTATCGGTCATCCCAAAAACTTACCAAAAGGTAAAGAGTATCTCCATAATGAAGAATCTATATCACCTAATGGGCAAAATAGCCAGCTAGCATTAAACAACAATATTAAACTCACAAATATCAATATTAATCATAAATTTAAATGGATTAAATGCCCCAATCAAAGACACAGGCAAATTGAATAAAAAGTCAAAACCCATTGATTCGCTAAATCCAGATCCATCTCATAAGCAAGGACACACAAAGACTCAAAGGGTTGGTGGAAGACTTACCAATCAAATGGAGAGAAAAAACAAAACAAAACAGGAGTTGTAACTTCCGTCTCTGACAAAATAGACTTTAATAGTAACAAAGACTAAAAGAAACAAAGAAGGACATTACATAATGGTAAAAGGATCAATGCAACAACAGGAGTCAATGATCATAAATATATATGCACCCAATATAAGAACACCCAGATACATAAGACAAGTTCTTAATGACTTAAAAAGGGACTTGGACTCCCACACAAAAATAATGGGAGACTTTGACACCACATTGTTAATATTCGATGGATCAACGAGATTGAAAATTAACAGGGACATCTATGATTTGAACTCAGACCTGGAACAAGTAAACTCAGTAAATATTTATAGAATTCTTCATCCGAGGTCCACAAAACATACATTTTTCTCTGTATCACATTACACCTATTTTGAAAATGACCACATAATTGGAAGTAAATCACTCTTCAGCATTTGCATAAGCATTTGCATGACTTAAGTGACATATTGGTTGGCTGTTTGTTTGTTATTTTCCTCCCTTATTCCTTCCTGTCTCCGCTGTTAAGCACAGTTATCAGCATAAAAGAGGTTTTTTGTTTTGTTTTGTTTTTTTTGAGATGGAGTTTTGCTGTTGTTACCCAGACTGGAGTGCAATGACACGATCACTGCAACCTCCACCTTCTGGGTTCAAGCACTTCTCCTGCCTCAGCCTCCCAAGTAGCTGGGACTACAGGCGCGCACCACCATGCCCAGCTAATTTTTGTATTTTTAGTAGAGACGGGGTTTCACCTTGTTGACCAGGATGGTCTCAATCTCTTGTGATCCACCCACCTTGGCCTCCCAAAGTGCTGGGATTATAGGCATGAGCCACCGCGCCCGGCCAAAAGAGGTTTTTTAATACCTATTTTTAGATTGCACTCCAACCTGGGCAATAGAGCAAGACTCCTGTTCTCTCTCCCCCTTTCTCTTTCTCTTTCTTTAAAAATAAATAAATAAAAAGTAACTCGTGCTCAGATGAAAAATGGACTGTAATGGGTCAAGAGTAGAAGTACAACCTGCACAACTGGGCGCAGTGGCTAACGCCTATGATCCCAGCACTTTGGGAGACTGAGGCAGGTGGATCACCTGAGGTCGGGAGGTTTTTTTTTTTTTTCCCATATCTGTCAAATAGCCACTGCACAAATTTTTTTTTTTTTTTTGAGAAAAGAGAAAGAGAAAGAGGGAGAGAGAATGAGAATGTTGCTTTATTGCCCAGGCTAGAATGCAGTCTAAAGATGGGTATTGAAAACCTCTTTTATGCCAATAATTGTGCTTAACAATGGAGACAGGAAGGAATAAGGGAGGAAAATAACAAACAGCCAACCAATATTTCTTTTAAACCTGTGAAATGCTATGCAATTATTGAGGAGTGATTTACTTCCAATTATGTAGTTACTTTTAGAGTAGGTGTGATGTACTGATAAGAATGTATGTTTTGTGTATTTGGGGTGGAGAGTTCTATAAATGTTTACTAAGTTTACTTGTTCCGGGTCTGAGTTCAAGTCCTGGATATCCTTGTTAATTTTCTGTCTCGTTGATCTGTCTAATATTGACAATGTGATGTTAAAGTCTCCCACTATTATTGTATGGGAGTTGAAGTCTCTTTATAAAGTCATTAAGAACTTGTCTTATGTATCTGGGTGCTCCTGTATTGGGTCCGTATATATTTAGGATCGTTAGCTCTTCTTGTTGCATTGATCCTTTCACCATTATGTAATGTCCTTCTTTGCCTCTTTTGATCTTTGTTGCTTTAAAGTGTATTTTATCAGAGGCGAGAATTGCAACTCCTGCTTTTTATTTATTTATTTATTTATTTTTGCTCTCCATTTGGTTGGTAAATCTTCCTCCATCCCTTTGTTTTGAGTCTTTGTGTATCCTTGCATGTGAGATGGGTCTGGATGCAGCATACCGATGGGTTTTGACTTTCCATCCAATCTGCCTGTCTGTGTCTTTTGATTGGGGGATTTAGTCAAATTTAGGATTAATAATAATATATGTGAGTTGAATACTGCCATTTGATGCTAGCTGGCTGTTTTGCCCATTAGTTGATGTAAATTCTTCATTATATTGATGCTCTTTATTTTTAGGTTTATTTTTGGAAAGGCTGATACTGGTCGTTCCTTTCTATGTGTAGTGCTTCTTTCAGAAGCTCTTGTAAAGCAGGCCTAGTGGTGATGAAATCTCTAAGTACTTGCTTGTTCACAAAAGATTTTATTTTTCCTTTGCTTGTGAAAATTAAGTTTGGCTGGATATTAAATTCTGGGTTGAAAGTTCTTTTCTTTAAGGATGTTGAATATTGGCCCCACTCTTCTGGCTTGTAGGGTTTCTGCTGAGAGATCTGCTGTGAGTCTGATAGGCTTCCCTTTGTGGGTAACCTGACCGTTCTCTCTGGCTGCCCTTAGCATTTTCTCCTTCATTTCAACCCTGGTGAACCTGATGATCATGTGCCTTGGGGTTGCTCTTCTTGAGGAATATCTTTGTGGTGTTCTCTGTATTCCCTGGAGTTGAATATTGTCCTGCTTTGCTAGGTTGGGAAAGTTTTCCTGAATAATATCCCGGAAAGTATTTTCCAGCTTGGATTCATTCTCTTCGTCACATTCAGGTACACCTATCAAACGTAGATTAGGTCTTTTCACATAGTCCCATGTTTCTTGGAGACTTTGTTCATTCCTTTTTATCCTTTTTTCTCTAATCTTGTCTTCTCGTCTTATTTCATTGAGTTGGTCTTTGACCTCTGATATCCTTTCTTCTGCTTGATCAATTTGACTGTTAAAACTTGTGCATACTTCACAAAGTTCTCGTGTTGTGTTTTTCAGCTCCATTAATTCACTTATATTCCTCTCTAAATTGTCTATACTCGTTAGCATTTCATCAAACCTTTTTTCAAGGTTCTTAGTTTCTTTGCATTGGGTTAGAACATACTCTTTTAGCTCACAGAAGTGTCTTATTATCCACCTTCTGAAGCCTGATTCTGACAATTGATCACACTCGTTCTCCATCAGGCCTTGTTCCTTTGCTGATGAGGAGCTACGATCCCCTCAAGGAGTAGAGGCATTCTGATTTTGGATGTTTTCAGCCTTTTTGCGCTGGTTTCTTCCCATCTTTTTGGATTTATCCACCTGTCCTCATTTTAATTGCTGACTGTTTCTTTGTTTTCCTTTGGTGGGCGCCCCTCCCCCACAGATCTGGACCTTCCCGGGTTCAGCTGTGCTTGCTGTGAAACTCTCAATCGTCAGTGTTTCCAATTGCTGTTTTTTTGTGGGGGTGGGACCAGCCGAACCTGATCACCTGGCTCCCGGCCTCGGAGCCCCCTTTTTTTCTTTTCCTAATTGAAAGGATGATTCTCTCCCAGGTGCCCCAGTTGTCCACCGAAAAGGCACCGGGATCTATGCAATTTCCCGTGTGGTGACCGCGCCAGCTGAAACAGCTGCGCTGAGATTTGTGGCGCTTTTCTGCCCAGGAGTCTCCTGGGCTGGCTCCCGGCTTCAGTCCCCCTCCCAATCAGCTGAATGGGTGACTGCCTTCTCGGAGCTCCAAACATCAACTAAAAGGGCACCCAGTCCCGCATACTCTGCACTGAGAACCACCGCACAGGGACGCCGGCAAAACAGCCACGCTGGTCAAAAGAGTCACGCTGGCGACCCGTGGGGCTCCTCCACTGGGAATCTCCTGGTCCGTAAGCAACAAAAATTCGTCTAAAAGTCTGGCGTCCACTTAGTCCCTGTGCCTTCACTGGGAGCTGCAACCCTGAGCTGCTGCTAGACAGCCATCTTGGATCTCTCTCCGAGGTCAGGAGTTTGAAACCAGCTTGACCAACATGGAGAAACCCCATCTCTACCAAAAATACAAAATTAGCTGGGTGTGGTGGCACATGCCTGTAATCCCAGCTACTCGGGAGGCTGAAGGAGGAGAACTGAACCCGGAGGCGGAGGTTGCGGTGAACTGAGATGGTACCATTGCACTCCAGCCTAGGCAACAAGAGCAAAACTCCATCTCAAAAATAAAAAAAAGTACAACCTCACTGGGGCTGTTGTAGTTAACTAGATATAAGGGTGGTCATGGTGAAGATATAAGTAAGCAGACGGATTCAGTATATTTGCAAGTTGAATTAACGGCATTTTTGTGGGGGATTGAACCAAAAAAGCATAGGAAAGTAAGGAATCAAGGATGATTCTTACAGCTCTGTTGAGCGTGTGAAAATCATTTCCTGTGGAGGGAGACCGGTCATTTTAGGTTTGAGGACGTTCTCTTTGCACTTACTAAGTGCAAAGAAGAGGCTTTTGATTTCTGTTAATGAGTGAGCAGGTTGCAGGGAGGCACGTTGAAGGGAGAGGAGGAGATGTGAAATGCCTATCTTTGAGGAAAAAAAAGCATTGTAATACTTTGCAACCTTTTGGTTGAAGCAAAGGGAAAGCACTCTAAGCTAGCTTAGTTAAAAAGAAGGTTTAGGATGAGCAGTGTGACTCACACCTGTAATCCCAGCACTTTGGGAGGCCAAGGCAGATGGATGGCTTGAGCCCAGGAGTTCAAGACCAGCCTAGCCAGCATGGTGAAACCCCACCTCTACAGGAAATACAAAAATTAGCTGGGTGTGGTGGCACCTGTATTCCCAGCTACTCAGGAGGCTGAGGTGGGAGAATCGTGTGAGCCTAGGAGGTCAAGGTTGAAGTGAGCATTGATTGTGCCACTGCACTCTAGCCTGGGCAGCAGAGTGAAACTATCTACAAAGAAAGCCAGATTTATTGTCCCAATTTGGATAAGTTAGTTATCGCTGGGGAGGAGTAGGAAGGTGTTATCATTATAAATGTGTCTATGAATGAAGCTCAGTCCTTTGTGAATGGAGAATGTAGGTTTAAGCACAGAAATAAATAAAAACATAAGGTAGAAAATTCTGTTTATTGATTCCCAAAAATTAATAAGAGAATCATACCGGGATTTGTTGAACCCCTCTTGTTAGTTTTTTTTTTTTTTTCTTCTTGAGACTGAGTCTCTCTGCTGCCCAGGCTGGAGTGCAGTAGCACCATCTCGTCTCACTGCAACCCCCGCCTCCTGGGTTCAAGCAGTTCTCGTGCCTCAGCCTCCTGAGTAGCTAGGATTACAGGCACATGATACCACACCTGGCTGATTTTTGTATTTTTAGTAGAGACAGGGTTTCACCATGTTGGCCAGGCTGGTCTTGATCTCCTGACCTCAAGTGATTTGCTTTCCTCAGCCTCCCAAAGTGCTGGGATTACAGCCGTGAGCCATCACGCCCAGCCCCTGTTGGTGATTTTGATACATTATCTCATAGTTCTCATCCTTCTACCCCAGGATGAGAAGGGTGAGACTCCGGGAGATGAAGTATCTTCCCTAGGGTCATTGTGGTAAGAAATTATAATTGATTTTTTTTTTTTTTTGGTTTTGTACTTTTTTGGAATAGGTAATACATATTAACATGGTTCATAACACAAAAGTACTGAAGAGTAAGTATACAGGAAAATATCTCCCTCTCAGCTCTGTGTCCCAGCAATCAGCTCCCCTCCATGAGGGCAGCCAGTGTTAACCAATTTCTGGTGTGTCCTTCCATAGCCTGTGCACATAAAATTCAAGAAGTATATGTATTGTCTATGTAGTGAATTTTTGTTTTTTATTAACACCAGTGATAACACTCTTACACAGTTCTGTACCTTGCATTTGTCACTAAACAATATGCCTAGGAGGTTGTATTATTATTAATACTTAAAGAGATTTCCCCCTTTTATGGCTGCATAGTATTCCATTGTCTGGCTGTACAATAATTTATTTGCTCAGTTCTCTATTAATGGACACTGCTACAGTGAAAAACCATGTACATAATTTCCTGCATATGAGTTTTTTATGTAATTGTTAACTTTTATGTTCTATTTCTAGTAAGGATAACAATTGTTGAAGGGACACATGTATAATGGGCCCTATCCATTCTTTTCAGACATTCGGGAACTGATTGAGGTGGATGATGTAATGGAGGATGATTCTCTGAGATTTGGTCCCAATGGAGGATTGGTATTTTGCATGGAGTACTTTGCCAATAATTTTGACTGGCTAGAGAACTGTCTTGGCCATGTAGAAGATGACTATATCCTTTTTGATTGCCCAGGTGAGTCAACAATTTGAATGCATTGTCTTCGTTAAAGTCTTGATAGTTCCATCCTTAGTAGGTGAGACAGGGTTTCACCATGTTGGCCTTGCTGGCCTTGCTGGTCTCGAACTCCTGACCTCAGGTGATTCCCAAAGTGAATCACCTGGGCCTCCCAAAGTGCCGGGATTATAGGTGTGAACTACCATGCCCAGCCCAAATTGTGAATTTTCAACTTGAGCCTAACCTGGCTTTGATCATTTATGACCCTCACTTTTTTCCCCTTGCTTTTAATTGACCTTATATATCCCCACAGAAAAGTATATGTATCATTAGCGTACAGCTTGATGAATGTTCCCAAACTATACTTATCTTTGTAGCACTTATTAATTTTTGTAGAGATAGGGTTTCACTGTATTGCCCAGGTTGGTCTCAAAGTCCTGGGCTCAAGCTATCCTTCCACCTTGGCCTCCCAGATTGCTGGGATTATAGCTGTGTGAGTCATGGCATCTGGCCAATAACACTCATTAATTGGCAGAAAACTAAAATGTGAAGAACCTTAATTTTTCTTTCCTTTTTTTTTTTCTTTTTGAAACAGAGTCTTGCTCTGCTGCCCAGACTGGAGTGCAGTGGTACGATCTCAGCTCACTGCAACCTCTACTTCCTGGGTTCAGGTGATTCTCTTGCCTCACCCTTCCAAGTAGCTGGGACTACAGGCACGTGCCACCACGCCCAGCTAATTTTTCGTATGGTTAGTAGAGGTGGGGTTTCACTATGTTAGCCAGGATGGTCTTCATCTCCTGACCTTGTGATCTGCCCACCTCGGCCTTCCAAAATGCTGGGATTACAGGCATGAGCCACAGTGCCCGGCCTTGTGGTTTTTTTTTTAGACATGGTCTTACTCTGTTGCCCAGGCTGGATTGCAGTGGTGTGATCTCAGCTCACTGCAACCTCCTCTTCCCGGGTTTAAGCAATTCTTGTGCCTCAGCGTCCCAAGGAGTAGCTGGGACTATGGGCGGACACCACCACATCTGGCTAATTTTTTTTTTTTTTTTTAATTTTAATTTCAATTTTTGTTGAGATGGAGTCTCACTCTGTCGCCCGGGCTGGAGTGCAATAAATGGCGCAGTCTTAGCTCACTGCAACTTCCGCCCCCCAGGTTCAAGCATTCTCCTGCTTTAGCCTCCCAATTAGCTGGGTTACAGGTACCCACCACCATGCCCAGCTGATTTTTGTATTTTTAGTAGAGAGAGGATTTCACCATTTTGGCCAGGCTGGTCTTGAAATTCTGATCTCATGATCCACCCACCTCCCCCTCCCAAAGTGCTGGGATTACAGGCGTGAGCCACCACGCCCAACCATTTTCCTGTGTTTTTAGTAGAGATGGGGTTTCACTATATTGGCCAGGCTGGTCTTGAACTCCTGGCCTCAAGTGATTTACCCACTTCAGCCTCCCAAAGTGCTGGGATTATGGGCATGAGCCACTCTGCCTAACCCATAGAACCTCATTTACTACATAAAACTGAATAGTTTGCTTGGGATTCCTATGGTGGCAGTACCTTAGGTTTTATGATTGCGTTGAGAGGCTGTGGGCTCCTTAAAAATGTGTTGGCTTTTATTTTTATCCATCTTATGGGGAAACTCTGTTACCTCTAACATATTTGCTGTTTCTTAAATTCTTGCAATACTCTTTATGTAGGTCAGATTGAGTTGTACACTCACCTGCCTGTGATGAAACAGCTGGTCCAGCAGCTCGAGCAGTGGGAATTCCGAGTCTGTGGAGTTTTTCTTGTTGATTCTCAGTTCATGGTGGAGTCATTCAAGGTCTGAACCTAATTCTCTTATAGATTTTTTTTTTTCTTTGAGACAGTCTTACTCCATTGCCCAGGCTAAGTGCAGTGGCATGTTCTCAGCTCACTGCAAACTCTGCCTCCCAGGTTCAAGTGATTCTAGTGCCTCAGCCTCTCAAGTAGCTGAGATTACAGGCATGCGCCATCATGCCTGGCTAATTTTTGTATTTTTAGTAGAGACAGTGTTTTACCATGTTGGCCAGGCTGGTCTCAAACTCCTACCCTCAAACCTCAAGTGAGCTGCGTTCCTCAACCTCCCAAAGCCTCTTACAGATTTTTTTTAACTATGAGTACAAGCAGATGACAATTTCCTTTAATTATTGTGTGATTATGGATATTTCACAAACAATTCCAGAATTACTTAGTATCCCTTTGTTATTAAATTATCATGATAATATGTTATAACTCAAAAGTAGTAAATTAAGGTATCGTAGAGATTTAGGAGGAACTAAGAGAAGATACTGAGGTGGCCAGGCACAGTGGCTCACACCTGTGATCCCAACACTTTGGGAGGTCAAAGTGGGAGGACTGCTTGAGCCTAGGAGTTCCAGTCCTGCCTGGGCAACAGTGAGACCCTGTCTTTACAAAAAAAATACAAAAATTAGCCAGGTGTTGTGGCTTGGGCCTGTAGTCCCAGCTACTTGGGAAGGAGGATTGCTTGAATACAGGAAGTGGGAGGATCGCTTGAGTACAGGAAGCAGAGGTTGCCATGACTGAGATGGCCAAGATAGCACCATTGCATGCCAGCCTGAGTGACAGAGCAAGAAAAAAACTGAAGCAGATAACTATTTAGCTATTTTATAAAAGTCTATTTTAATTTTCTGAGGACTTTTTGTCCAGTTTATGAACTATCTAGATCAAATTTTATTTTATTAGCTCTTAAGGAATATTAGATGGGAAAAGAAATTAAAATGCTGTCTAAATTGACATTTGTGATCACTGTATGTTATCTACATCTTCCCTCACCTTTGGGAACCAAGAGTCAAACCCCCTAGGGCCTTTTTCTGTGGCTAGCTTCTTAATAAGTACAAATAATTTTGCCTTTCATGTTTTCTAGATTTCTTTTTTTTTTTTTGAGCTAGTTCACTTTTTTTGCCCTTTTGTTTGAGTTTGAACTAGAATGTCTTGGCCCGCCTTGAGTGCACCCTCAGTTTCATGGTTCACGCCACACCTCCTCAGCGCTTTGTCTGCCCCACTCATGCCTCACCCCCCTGGTTCATTACGTTTTTTGTCTCCACCGGTTGAGTTTGCATTTAGAGCCTGTTGTCTTCACACTGGTCCTGCTTCCTTTGTTCTCCTCCCTCCCGAGTCTTGTCCAAGGTCCCCCTCATGCTGCACACCTGAGCCTCCTGTATCCTTTTTCTGACCAGGGATTCCGTTCGGCTGCCGTTTCAGCCTCCTAACCCCAATGTGACCAGGGACCAAACTTTTTGCCCCAACATCGGTCTCAACCCTTTGCTGTTGCCAACTCAATTCGTTCTCATCGTGGCAAAGCCAGTGTGCCCATGGCCTCTAGAAATTCACCACAGGTCAACATGACCCCATCCCCCAAAGGATCTGCTGAGTAAAAAAGCTAAAAAGGAAATTGAGAAGTGAGTTCACTGTTCTTCCATTATTATCAGATCTCAATTGCAGAGATGAACCTTCTGTTTTATTTAGATGGAAAATTTGGTTGGTTTATAAACCTAGTCTCCTAAATTCATCAGTCTTTCTATCTTTTAAAGGTTTTTAGATCCAGACATGTATTCTTTATTAGAAGATTCTACAAGTGACTTAAGAAGCAAAAAATTCAAGAAACTGACTAAAGCTATATGTGGACTGGTAAGCTTTTAAAGTTTGGATTTTTTGGCCAGGTACAGTGGCTCATGCCTGTAATCCTAGCACTTTGGCAGGTCAAGGCGGGAGGATTGAGTCTAGGAGTTCAAGACCAACCTGGGTAACATAGTAAGACCCTATCTCTTAAAAAAAAAAAAAATTAAAAATTAGGCCGGGTGCAGTGGCTCACGCCTGTAATCCTAGCACTTTGGAAGGCTGAGAAGGGTGGATCACCTGAGGCCAGGAGTTTGAGACCACCCTGGCCAACATGGTGAAACCCTGTCTCTACTAAAAATACAAAAAATATATACATATAGCTGGGTGTGGTGGTGCACACCTGTAATTACAGTACTCAGGAGGCTGAGGCAGGAGAATTGCTTGAACCCAGGAGGCAGTAGTTGCAATGAGTGGAGATCACACCACTGCACCCTTGGCAACAGAGAGAGACATTGTCTCAAAAAAAAAAAAAAAAAAAAGTCTGGGCTCAGTGACTCACCCCTGTAATACCAGTACTTTCGGAGTCTGTGGTAGGTGGATCACCTGAGGTCAGGAGTTCAAGACCAGCCTGGCCAACATGGTAAAACGCTGTTTCTACTAAAAAATATAAAAATTACCCAGGTGTGGTGGCAGGCACCTGTAATCTCAGCTACTCAGGAAACTGAGGCAGGAGAATTGCTGGAACCCAGGAAGCAGAGGTTGCAGTGAGCCGAGATCTTGCCAGTGCAATCCAGCCAGGGCTGACCACAAGACTCCATCTCAAAAAAAAAAAAAAAAAAAAAAATTAGCCAGGTATGGTGCCTGCACACCTGTAGTCCTAGCTACTCTGGAGGCTGAGGTGGGAGGATCCCTTGAGCCTGGGAGGTCAAGACTGTAGTGAGCCATGATCGTGCCACTGTGTTCTAGCCTGGGTGACAGAGAGACCCTATCTCATAAAAAGAAAAAAAAATTTTTTCCTAAACATCTGGTCGAGTGTTTGTTTGCCTGTGTCCAGTCATTAGCCACCTTTATAAAAAGCACAGTCCAACTCTATTTTCTACAAAGTGGAGGAGGGAAAAGGGCTGTGGGCTGGTCAGTCAGAAGTTTAATTTAGAAGTAGTTATTGGTGATGGCCAATAAATTAACTAACATGTCATTATTTCACATTATTTGGAGAGTTCAGGACTGTTTGTATACCTGTGAAATTTCCGGTGGTGGTTGAATTCAGATAAATACCCATAAAACAGTGTCTAGTTAAAGTAATAAGCTAACAAGTATTCTAGCAGATCAGAAGTCAAAAAAATCAGTGATTTACTGTGTCTAGCTGTCCCTCCTCTCCTTCCCCTAAACACATCACTGTTTTTAATTAGAAGTACAAATGGTTATAAAACTCAAATATAAGTTGAAAATTATGTATTTTGCCCAACTTCAGAATGGACTTTTCTTGAAATCCCCACCTTGTAGATTGATGACTACAGCATGGTTCGATTTTTACCTTACGATCAGTCAGATGAAGAAAGTATGAACATTGTGTTACAGCATATTGATTTTGCCATTCAGTACGGAGAAGACCTGGAATTTAAAGAACCAAAGGTAATTTCTGATTGGGGATGTTTGTTAGCTTTTGATAAAACTATTTGTCAGCACTCACTGGACTCTTGCATATACAAGTGACTCCTTAAATTAGTTTTTTGTCTTATTGATAGCAGTTACCTGGGCTTTTCTGGGTGATCTCTGAAATTGACACTGTCCTCTACAAGTGGTATCACGTTTACTCTACTTTTGTTGAGGCAGAATGATGAAACCTCTGTGTACCCAGACCTTGGGTGTATGTTTAAAGAGGAGGTGAAATTGGGCTGCCTTCACATAAGTCATTGAGAAGGCTAATGACAGTATCAGCAAAGCATTTTTGTTTCAGTTTTTTTCCTGACCACCAGGCTACCAGGGAGGTAAAGCACTCTCACGGCAAATTAGCCGAGAATCATTGTGAATGTAAATTCAAATGAGAAATGCTTCTTAGATAGAAGCACATTAATTTACTACATATCTGGAAAAACTGTCAGTCATGACTTTTCTTACTATTAATAGTTACCTATAAGCAACACCTGGAGCTGGTGCTGGATAATTAGTTCCACATAGGATATTACCTGAAAAATATTTAAACAACATACTAGTTCTAACTGAAGGGAAATTAATATATTTTCTATTTTGTGTTTCCATTGTGTCAGGAACGTGAAGATGAGTCTTCTATGTTTGATGAATATTTTCAAGAATGCCAGGGTGAATGAAGAGTTTACTACAAAGTAACCATCTATACATGAGGAGCTTGTGGCGAAACAAGCAGAACATTCTTCTCTTCAAAGGGTGCAAGAGTAGAAAGCTACCTATTTTAATGAAAAAAGTAATACTTCATTCTTTATCAGCTGCATGCCTGAATCAAGTTTTTAATTATCCTGAAACTGCTGCTGTTTAAAGTGGAATATTTTAGTAGTATTATAACAGCATCACTTGAGATTTTGTAAGTCAAAATTGAAATGAATGCACATAGATTTGTGTGTAATATAAATCTGCACCTGAACTAAGGGTAAGGCTAGTCTAACGTTTTCACTTTTTGTGTTGTTTTTGAGATGCAGGAATTACTGTAACAAAATATGTATGTCTGAAGGGGAAAAGTTGGAAGGATATACATAAGACATTGCTTATCTGTACCTTCCCATTTTCCTATATTGAAAATGTATAATATTTATATAACTTAAAAAGGAAAAGTAACTGTTTTGAGATACTTATGTATATATATATAAAAGAAACAAAGGTTTTTAATCATTCTTGGTCCTAGATAACAAGTACACCACAGTGTCTAACTTGATTCATTTTAATTAAAGAAGCAAAGTGTGACCAGGCGTGGTGTCTCACGCCTGTAATGCCAGCTCTTTGGGAGGCTGAGGTGGACGAATCACCTGAGGTCAGGAATTCAAGACCAACCTAGCCAATGTGGTGAAACTTCATCTCTACTAAAAATACAAAAAATTAGCTGGGCATGGTGGCTTATGCCTGTAATCCCAGCTACTTGAGAGGCTGAGGTGGGAGAATCGCTTGCACCCAGGAGGTGGAGGTTGCAGTGAGCCAGGGTCACACCATTCCACTCCAGACTGGACAACAGAGCAAGATTCCATCTCAAAAACAAACAACAAAAACGCAAAATGTAAGGACCAAGGACCTATAGGCATCAGTGGTAGCTTATGCCTGGGGGCCCAGGCTAGAGGGAAGGGCCAGGTGTCTACACCACTGCCCACTCAACGAGGAGCATGATGAGTGGGCAGCATGAGGATGTGCTGTGCTACTTGGGGACTTTCCTGTGACCCTTACAGGATGGAGAGTGGAAACAGCCTGATCTCCCAGGGTTGCTAATTCTTAGAAACTTAATTGTCACATGGAAGGGGAAGAAAGAAGAGGCAGCTTTTTAGTTGCCCTCTTCCTTGATCCTCCCTGGTTTAGCTTCTAGAGACTATGGTATGTGCCTATGGGGAAAAGTGAAGGGCCGATTCCAGTGCCTTCCCCACTGGACACTGGGGTTTCATAGATTAATCTGACAATTCCAGTCCTCAAGGATTTCACTATCTCATTGGCAGGGCTGACTTGATACACAAATTTACTGAACTTTGTGCATGCCAGGCACTGGGGATAGAATGGGGATCCACAGTGCAGGCAGGGCCTTGCTCACGTGGGGCTGCCATGCTGGCCTATGAGACTGTGAGGAAGGAAACCTTGGAGAGAGGATGGAAAGAAGAGCAGAAGTGAAATGGAGAGTGAGTATAGGGCTGCTTTGGACTGTTTGTCAAAAAAGGCCCTGCCTGAAAGGTGCTATTTGGCCAGTGACCTGAATGAGAAATCGATGTGGAAACAGGGCATTATTCCAGGCAGGGAACTGGCAGAAGAAATGGCTCTCAGGCAGCAATGAACTTGGCTTTTAACATAAGAAGCTTTTTAGTAATAAATAGGTTTGGCCGGGCAGGGTGGCAAGCCTGTAATCCCAGCACTTTGGGAGGCCGAGGCGGGTGGATCACGAGACCATCCTGGTCAACATGGTGAAACCCCGTCTCTACTAAAAATACAAAAAAGTAGCTGGGCATGGTGGCGCATGCCTGTAATCCCAGCTACTTAGGAGGCTGAGGCAGGAGAATTGCCTGAACCCAGGAGGCGGAGGTTGCGGTGAGCCGAGATCACGCCATTGCACTCCAGCCTGGGTAACGAGCGAAACTCCGTCTCAAAAATAAATAAATAGGTTAAAAACTCCTGGGCTTTCTGTATTCTCCAAGCTTGCAAGTTGTAAGCATTTTACATGTAATTCATTTCGTCCTTACAAAACTTTGAGGTAGATAGTGTTACTGCCATTTTCAGGTGAGGAACTGAGGCATAGAGAGGCCAGTTAACTTGCTCAAAATTACACAGCTAGTATGTATTGGAGCTGGGATTCAAACCTAGAGACCAGTGCCCTTCAGTTTCTCCGTTGTTAGGTGCAGTGCACTAGGTTCATTCACTCAAATATTTATTGATGCTTCCTACATACGATCACTGTTATAGGCGCAGGGGACAAAATGGATGAATTGCTGCCTTTTTGGCATTCACAGGGATAGGGAGACAATCACCAAGAGTAAAGTAAAGATGAGAATCGTAAGAACTAAGGGAAAAAGCGGGAGAGAAGGATAAGGCATGGGACTGGAGTCGGGTGAATTGAAAGTAGAATGACCTGCGAATGCTTCACAGGAAAGGTTTTTTGTTTGTTTTTTTTTTTTGAGGCAGTCTCACTCTATTACCCAGGCTGGAGTGCAGCCGCGCGATCTCGGCTCACTGCAACCTCCACCTCCCAGGTTCAAGCGATTCTCCTGCCTCAGCCTCCCGAGTAGCTGGGATGCCACCATGCCCGGCTAATTTTTGTATTTTTAGTAGAGACGAGTTTTCACCTAACCTCAGGTGATTCGCCCGCCTCGCCCTCCCAAAGTGCTGTGATTACAGGCGTGAGCCACTACGCCCGGCCCTGAAAAGGTGAAATTTGAAAAAAATACGAAAGGTGATTGATCTCTGGGATTCTAGAACCTCAAGCCAAGAGCCACTCTCAGGACCTCTGCCTAGTGCTCTGGCGCCCCCTTCAGATCCGCGCGGCCGCAGCAACCAGAGACGGAACAGGAAGGCCGGAAGCTCCTCGTCCTCCCCCTCCCTCGCCCGCCCCTTCCGGCTCGCTTCCGCCTACTCCACCCGGGCTGCCAGACCGGAAGCGCACCGCTGGAGCTAGATCCTGCTCCTCTGGGTTGAAACTCGGGCGCCGCCAAGATGCCGGTGAGGGTTCGATCCATGATGTGGGGAGACATCGGGGATTACTAAGAGCAGGGAAAAACCTTTGTGTGCTGAGAGAAGCGGGCGGCGGAAGGCAGGGAGGAAGCTGAGGCCCGAGAAGGAGAGAGGCGAGGGGTGGGGGCCGGTCGCTGAAGGATTGGGGAAGCCCGAAGGTGTCAGTCGTGGGAGGCGGAGGCGCGGCAGGAATGTGCCAGGGGTACAGCGTGTGTGAGGAGGCCCTCTTCTCTTGCCCCTTCTACTCCCTCCGACTGCGGCGGGGTTCCCAAAGCCTCACTAGAGCGCGAAGCCAAGGGATGTGCTTTTTATTTTTCATTTTTCAAGCCCAGAGTCTGGCTTCTCCTTTTTCTGTCAGGCCCACTTCCTCCTCCCCACCGGGGGCAGGTTCTCTCTGCTGTTTGTCATTTGCCAGAACCCACTTCCCGGCAGCGGCGGCCACCCCGGAGCCAGCTGGGTTTAGGGCCCTCACAGACTCGGTCGGCGCCTGACTTCCAAAGGTTTCCTTTTTCGTGTGCATCAGAGTGGGAGTAAAAGTTTATGACTGTCTGGTTGTACTTAATTTCTGGCGGCCCGTCTGTGGGGTAGATTTATCACCATCATGGTCTCCATTTTGCAGATTCAGGAAAAGATGGTTCAGTTATGTGATTGTGTGTCACACTTTTTTGAGACAAGATCTCCTTCTGTAGCCCAGGCTGGAGTACAGTGATGCGATATCAGCTCACTGCAGGCTCCGCCTCTCGGGTTCAAGCATTCCTTGTGCCTCAGCCTCCCGGGTAGCCGGGTTTACGGGTGCGTGCCACCAGCCTCAGCTAATTTTTTGTATTTTAGTAGAGACGGAGTTTCACCATGTTGGCCAGGCTGGTCTCAAACTCCAGACCTCAGGCGATCTGCCTTCCTCAGCCTCCCAAAGTGCTCGGATTGCAGGCATGAGTCACCGCACCCAGCCTGTTATTTTTAACAAACGTTACCCAGCACCTACTGCCTTCCAGGCTCTATTTACAGCAGCACATAAGTTCAACAAATCCCTAATCTTAAAGAGTATACATTCATATTGGTAGACGAGACAATAAGTGTGTAAACTTGGCCGGGCGCGGTGGCTCAAGCCTGTAATCCCAGCACTTTGGGAGGCCTAGGCGGGTGGATCCACAAGGTCAAGAGATCGAGACCATCCTGGTCAAATGGTGAAACCCCGTCTCTACTAAAAATACAAAAAATTAGCTGGGCATGGTGGCACGTGCCTGTAATCCCAGCTACTCAGGAGGCTGAGGCGGGAGAATTGCCTGAACCCAGGAGGCGGAGTTTGCGGTGAGCTGAGATCACACCATTGCACTCCAGATTGGGTAACAAGAGCGAAACTCCGTCTCAAAAAAAAAAAGTGTAAACTTAAAGGAGATACAGTAGTTTCAGGTAGTGACAAATGCTATAAAAAAGCTAGATGGAAGCAGAATTAAAAACAATAACAACAAGAAAGAAGCTAGATGGGTGGCGGGGCGCAGTGGCTCACACCTGTAATCCCAGCACTTTGGGAGGCAGAGGAGGCAGGGGCGGATTACGAGGTCAAGAGATAGAGACCATCCTGGCCAACTTAGTGAAACCCGTCTCAACTAAAAATACAAAAATTAGTTAGGTGTGGTGGCGCATGCCTGTAATTCCAGCTACTTGGGAGGCTGAGGCAGGAGCATCGCTTGAACCCAGGAGGCAGAGGTTGCCGTGAGCTGAGATCATGCCACTGCTTGAACCCGGGGTGGAGGTGGCAATGAGCCGAGAATGTGCTACTGCACTCCAGCCTAGCGACAGAGGGAGACTCTGTCTCAAAAAAAGAAAAGAAAAGAAAAGAAAAAGCTAGATGGGTAACAAGACAGTTACTGGTGAGAGGGAAGGTGGAGGCTGCTTTAGATAAAGGATACCTGTAATGAAAAGGAGCAAGCCATAGTTATAAATACACATGTGTATGTGTATATACATATATATATATATATATATATATATATATATATATATACACTTTTTTTTTGAGACAGGGTTGCACTCTGTCCCTCAGGCTATGTTTTTAATAGAGATGGGGTCTCACCATGTTTCCCAGCCTGGTCTCAAACTCCTGGGCTCAAGCAGTGCTCCTGCCTTGACCTCCCAAGTGTTGGGATTACAGGCATGAGCACCGTGCTAAACCCCACAAATACATATTTTATGAATCGCATAATTATCATTTGACTCCTGAGCTCTCGGGTTCACACTTTGTAAATTATCCTGTTTAATCATCATAATGACTCTATAAAGTGGGTGCCATGATTCCTATTTTACAGAAGAGGAAACGGAACATCAGAGAGGTTAATTTGGACAAGGTTGCATACTAATATACTAATGGTAAAGCCACATTTTAAGCCAGGACTCTAGGCTGGGTGCAGTGGCTTATGCCTGTAATCCCAACACTTTGGGAGGCCGAGACGGGAGGATCACTTGAGCCTAGGAGT